TACACCTTATCATATCCACAAGCAGCAATGAATGTGTTCATTTTTGAAATGAAAACTTGTCTTTTCACTAAATAGATTATATGGTTATATGTCTGAACACAGTCGAGAGTTTTATTGACGATGGACTGTTTGCATTCTTGACCTGTGACTGAATTTCAAGAATATGGTTAAAAAGAACAGCAGATTAATCTCATTGGTCGTCAAGTGCAACATGCTTCATATTTTCCAAAGTCTCTCTCTGATTGGCTGATCAGCTCTCATGATTATTGCTTCTCTGAAACTGAAGACTTCCAAGACAGCTGAGTTCTGAGCGTTCCCATCAACAGGATGCTCCTACTGCTGGCAGCTTTTCATTAAAGCTGCAATAAGTTCTTAAAACTGTCACTATGTTGTGACGGTGTAATATGAGACGCATCGTCTCTGAAAAGTGATCTGACATGTCAATCTATACCGCTTACAATGTTTCAGTGTTTCTTACAACAGTAAGCTGTAAGGGACAACTTACTGCTTACAGGAAAACTGTTTATCGATGGCCATGCAACCTACCCTTAGCATTCACTACAGGCTATGCTAGCTGCAGCTTAGCAGAGAGCAAGGGGAAGCAGGGGAGAGAGGATGAGCAGTGCAACACTAGATTTTGATTGACATCACTAAAACCTGCTCCTTGCTGTGATTGGTTGTTTCTAGTTGGCACTGGGAGAAGGTGGAGGAGCTCCATCTTTTTCTCAAAATTTTCTGTCTCTACAAATATGTAAAAAAATAAAATAAAAATTATAAAAGTTACATACTGCAGCTCTAAAGGGGCAGTATTGCGTGAAATAAACCTTTTTGAGCTTAGTATCATGCCATAATGTTGTTGTTTCATTTTAAAACATAACTGGAGTGTTGCTTTGATTCTTTCATACATGTTTGAGAAATCCTTTAATCTCCATGGCAACCACTCGAGAACAGTTGCTCTCACAAAGTACCTCCTATTTTCACAAAGCTCCACTTGGAACTTCAGCCTCTAACCAAGCTTCTGCCTCACAGAGCAACCTGCCCCCACTCAGCTCCTCCAGACTAGTGCCAGCAGCAGTTAGCAAACACCTGGCTGAACTATGAGTCTACTTCTCAATCCAACTCTCCAAAGGACTGTTGTAAATAGGACAACGAGAAGCTAGTTTATGATGATGCACTGAAGGCCGAGTGTCTGACAGAACAGGAGCTTTGGAAAGAGACGGAGGCCAGTTTTAAGGTGTCAAAATAAAGTCAAATTTCTTTTAAGTTATATTTGATAAATTTTATACAACATTATAACAAGTGAAGATAAGTTAATTGATTGTTCTATAAAATACCATTGTGCCTGGAAAATACATAATGCCACCCCTACAAGTCTCAGTCCAATATTTAATCAGTTGACCTGCTCTATTTGTTCTGGACTGATCTGCTGTCTGCAAAGAGCCTGATTGCATTTAACGTGGAGATTTCACTGAACTCCTCTCAGTCTAGTCAGCAGCGCCCTCTGCTGGGCAGACAGTAAAAATAACCTTTAGAATTTCAAATTATACGTCATCAGTCAGAAAGCAACTCAGAATAATGAGCACTGACAGATGAGCTCAGCTGAGTAACCCTCAGCAGTTTACATACACAGACTCCTACAGCTCCGGGTCTGTGTTTCTCTGATTTTTATTGGCGGAGTAAATTAGAGTATTACCAAACTCTCCAGCTCACTCTGTTCCTGCGTTTCTGTCTAGAACTGGGTGGACTCAGGCTAAAAGACGACTCTCCATCTGCGCTGGACGTTGGCACATCCAAGCGCTCTCGTCTGGTTCCTCTTCCTGTGGGCAGCTCTCCCTCCTCTGCTTCAAGAGGACCTTTGGCCTTCAGTGTTGTACCTTAACGTGAGAAGATGTGCCACTTCTCAGCACCATGGAATGTCTGCTGATTGTTATTTTGTGTCACATCACACTCATTAAGTTTGTAGGAACGACCTCTGGATGTTTAGAGAAAAAACTGATTCTATTGTAAGAAACTCAGAAACTCCAGAATCAAACCAGTATATATGAATGGGGGGATTAGCTTTCAGAAGCTGCAATACTTATTTTAATGTTTCATTTTTGTTTCAATGCCTTTTTATTGTGCAATGCCATAGGGTACTGTTTATTTTAATGTATCGGAAGTGATAAATGATGCTTTTTAAAAAAAACATGTCTGTTATTGTTGCTTTTTTTATATTGAAGATGTCATCAATCTTTTCACTTGGATGTGAAATATGCAGGAAAATATGTGATTTGATAAATTTAAGCACAAAACTGTTCTCTTGACAGTGATATTTATGTGGCCACAGAGATACTTATGGAGGGCTGGATTTTGCCCCCATGCCTTTAGTTTGACTCATGTGTCCTACTCCTTTGGGTTTGTTCATATTTTACATGGCTGGTCAGAGAGAGCAACCTTTCCATTCAAAGAGCCACTTTTGCCCCTGCTGTTACAAAATAAAACTCACCTAGAGCCACAAAAGACAATTTTCTAAATATGTACTGCATAAAATATTTTAATATGGAAGCAGTGAAAAACTAATGCCCCTTTTTCACCAGCCACCACCTCCAGGCGCTATGTGCTGTGCTTCGTTACATGCATCCTAACGCGAGTTGTTGTTTTTCTGATACAAAAGAACAAGAGAGAGCTGAGCTATTTTTTTTATAGCCTGATTGCGATTTTTCTGAGACTTCAAGAAAATGTGGCAGTGGGAGGAAAGCAGCGATGTGGTGAGGAAGAGCTGATCTCTGCCTTGCAGCGGGAGCAAAGCAGGTGGCTCAGGTGCAGGTGAGCTAACAATGATTGTTGTATTAAACTACTATAAAACTTGTAATAGTGCCAAATATACATGAGCTAATGTTAATCGCAGTGTTGCAAATAACTTAAAAATGTCAGAATTAATTCATAATATATTACAATGTGTTTTCATGTTGGTAAACTGCAGACCATCGTGGTTCTTCGTGCTCCTCTGAGTTGTAGGATGTCTCATCAGTCTCCGTCTTCCTGCCAGTCGGTGTTTACCTTCAGGATGTCCAGAGACCTTCACCTTTCTGGAGTAGGAATCACATGAGCTCAATATGCTGATGAAACATTTCTGATAAAAAAAAAATGTGTCTGATGTTCTTACAGAGTTGAAGTGCATTAACAATCTGTTGTTTTTAACTTCTCAATACGTTTAATTATGATTCACCTGATGTCCAAGTTATACTGAGAACAAATAAAGCTTTATTCCTTCTAATCTGACTGGTTCTAGTTCCATATTTTCACATTTTGCACACTAAGAATTAAAAGTTTAAACTCAGTCTTAATTATCACTAATTAAGGTTACAGGTTTTAGACACATTTTCTCGCTTTCTTGCATTGAAGATTCTGCAGGAAGACATAAACATTGAGTGGATAGAATGATGATGTATAAACTAGAAACTAATAAACATGATTTGTATTTTGGGTTCTTGTTAATAGCAACCCTGATAATAATGTCAAAATGTTTGGTTTGCTGAATAATGTATTCAGTTTTGGATGCCGTCGTTGGTAATCTACAATGTTAAGTTCAATTAAACATTTATATAATATATTTTCACTCTGTCTAAAGCTCCGCACATTTTGGGAGGATTATATTAGGACCTTGATGCCATATAAACTACAATCTGTACAATAATGTGTTGGAGTGAGCAGAAATAGAGAGACTTCACTGAGACAACTTTTATTTTTCTTTTGTCTCAACTCTCCATAGAGCTCTGCCATCTCAGCTGGTAGCTGCTTCCTCCTGAAGGAGATCCAGGTGTTCTGATGGTTCTCCTCATCGTTCTCCATCATGTCAGCCATGTTGCTCTCCTTCTGCTCCCTGGGAAAAGTAATTAGATATTATAGCTTATAGCACATAAATGTAGATAAATAACAGAGTTACTAATGTGGAAGTTACATACACATAAGAAATTATTTAAAACGGACATGTTACTTTATACATACAAACATTTTTTTTTTACCATCCAGCCATACAGAATTATAAATAACTGGAATAGTTATGTAAATTAAAGACAAAATGTAATTACCTGTAAGTTTTAGACCTATGCATGCATACAGCCGTGGATAAAATACCACTATCGTTTTCTTCCGGTTTATTGTTCATTCTACAATTAATAATTCATAACAATTTGATTAGAGAACTGATATCTAGCCATTTTACAATAGGATGTCATATAACATGTTTTATTATCTCACAAGGGGGGAAACTCGGATGCAACAGCAAAATGATAAACAATCGAAGCACGTAGATTCACGCAAAGATAAGAAACAAGTGAAGGTAACATGTATAATATTACAATTATTTATAATTGTAATGTGCAACCAGTGTCTTTAGAAAATGCGCATGTTGTGTTTGAGCAATAAAAATACAGCAGACTTTGTGTTTTAAATGTCTTCCATGACATGTATGTATGCAACCTTAAATGTAGTAAAAACCAGACGGATATATCTCCAAACTGCTCACCTGGCTGGAGAGCAGCAGCGGCGTTAGCTGCGTCTGAGTCGGTGTTCACCGTGAGGCTGTGTCGGCTCCGAAGCGGCTAACGAGGCTTTCCATTCTCTCCACTATGGTGACAAAAACGACTCATGGACCTTACCAAGCCCCTCCCAGAAACGCCCCTCGACAGTCCCACATGGCTGCATGTCTCACAAACAAAGCGTCGCGGGGCTTAGTTTCTATGTCATAGTTCATGTCATCTTTTTTGGACGAAATCAAGGTGTTTGAGCCACGCGATGCCTCCAACATTGTGCGCGTCACAGGGAAATGCTATCGGTGTTATAGATCAACTGGTGGCTAAATCAACTGGTTGAAACCTATGCGCACCGCAGATGTTTCTAAATTGTAGGTGGTTGTGTCGATGCCTGTTGAAAAATGCTACTTGCGTGAAAAAACCGTTTGCAAAACTTTACTATAAATCCCATTGGACGCTTATATGTTTAATGTTGCATGTGAAAAGTATCTTTCAAAACAATTTTCTAAAGAACAGCATTCATTGCGCTTCGAAAACCATAACCAGATCAATGAATAACACAATCCCATTCACTTTCAGGTTCACCAGAATACAATAATTCTAACTCATGAATAGCCACAATGTAAACCCAAGTGGATAGTTTCTGCTTTTTGTAACCAGCACTGATCAGAAAAAAACATTGTAATTGACTATCAAGTACCTGTTATGCGAGTTGCTTACATTACAGGTAAGCAAAAGGTAAATAGTAAGTGTCGCATTATTTAGCGACATTTACTACCCAGAGTAAGTGTCGCTAAACAATGAGGTGGTTGTCATCATATTTAATAAAATTTAACTCACATACCTGATGGTGTTGCTTGTGGTGTTTACGTGTCCAAATAGAAAGGAATATCAAGTAATGTCGATAAGTTGTACTGTAATAAAATCTCATGTAAATGATATAAAGTTAACAGCTAATGTAGTTGATGGTGATATCCAAATTGACAAGCCGAAATTATAATAATAAACGTTCCGACAATACTGTCAGATATTGACAGACTATGAACCATATCTACAGTATTTGTCCGTGTGTTCTCTACTTGGAAACAGTTTGCAAGTTGTTGACGAAGGGAAATAAAATTAAAAACAGAACGAGCCGCATGAAGACAGTGACAGCCAAACGGGGTCCTCAACGCAGATGTTTGTAAAAAAAAATTAGGTGGCTTTGTCGTTTCCTGATCAAAACGCGACAAACGTAAATAAACAGATATGAAAATATCCCTACTTTCTCTAAGAGCTCTTCAAATCATAATGATATGAAGGAATATTGAAGAATGCATTAAAAGATCACTAAAATATACCCCACTTCAAAGGAGACTGTACTAAACAGAATTTGTACTACCACCCAACATTGTTAGAGTAATGACGATCATTTTACGTCTTTTCAGTCTTATGTTGACTGACATGGTCTGCAAGCATATCAATAAATAAAAAGTTATATCATGCAAACTAATTCATTGCTCATTTAATGGAAGCCACATTATTTCGTCTGCACTTTAAGACTTCACTCGGCTGCAGAAGCAAAGCTGTGCAACTTCGTAATCTGACAATATTCTTACAGTTAAAGTTTGTCGGGCAAACCTGTTAAACAACACTACCTCCAAAATGTTGGCAGCAAGTGAATTATATTATTTATTTTTGTAGACAATAAAATAAACTGGTCCAAAAAGGGAAACAGACGATGCTAACTAAACTCGTACCAGCGGTCGCTGAGTTCTGAGAACACTGCTTTAACCATTAAACTATGACGAAAGCTTAGAGACTGATGTTTCTACCCGTCATTGTCATCTAACAGACATCCCGTGCTTTAGGAAGGAAACCTGGATTAACTGGTGGCACTTTCAGAATCTCAGTTCGAGTGAAGATTTTTAAAGATTTTTAACCTGTTTCTGATGTAAAAGTATATAAGACAATTGTTTTTTCAGCGATGTCTCATATAGTTGAGAATTAGGGTCACTATATGAAAAGAATAAAGACGTTTAGTTAAATTACGAGAAAAAATATCAACAATAAGGAAGAAATGACACTGCCACATAGATCTGCGGTAGCCATGTCTTCTGTGAATGAGCTAGGAAATAAAGTGTAGCATTACAGAACAGTTAAAAAGGAGGAATATGTGGAAAAACTACACAGCCAGTCGATCTTTTTAAACATTTTATTTTTAATCCCAAGGCTCTTCAACATTTATGTCGGCTTTCCGGGATTAATCTTTGCTTTGAGATCTGGTCATGCCACATCGAGATCTATTTCGATCTTCCTTTGACGAGTTTCAACCTCTGAAGCAACACATAAATCAGGACAGGTTCTGCGTAATTTACATGTTTTGATGATATTGCAAATGAACTTAAAAAAAAAAAAAGGCAACATACCATATTAGACCAATGAAGTCTTTCCATTTAATTATTCCCGAGATTTTAGTGGTTGTTTTACGGAATCGGATAGTATTTTTGCAAAGATTTGTAGTCCTTTAAACTTATCGCATTGTTTACTTCCTGGTTCGGTAAAGGGGTCCTAAAAAGCAACGCCCACAGAAACATCAGTCTTTTCCAGCTGCCACCACCAGTTGACTTAGCCACCAGTTGATCTATAACACCGGTCGATGAGGAAAACAGCAGATCCTCAGCATAAATATAGCTGTGGACAAGATCAGTTCTTGCAAGG